ATGTAATATTTGTTAAACCGTGAGTTAATACTAATTATTGGCTCCAGGTAAGAGAAGGGCAGATCAACTGGTATGTGATGTGAAACGTGCGAAGCGTGTGAATATGATTGTGTCCACACCGAACCAACCCGGTAGCAGTGACGATTTCGTGGAGGAACGCCCTCGTACTCGTGTCAAGCCGGCCATCGAGCATAAGGGTATGTTTATGTACTTGCCAGCTTATGACTGTATACATAGTTATGGCATTTTTTGTTATTATTATTATTATTATTATTATTATTATTTATTTATTTATTTTTTACTACTTTATGTTATATAACAGGTGAGGGTGAAGGTAAAGAGTCGGTTATTCGTGGACATAATGTTGTTCACGAACCAGATAACGAGCTGGTCGTATATGAATCTGGTAGCGATGATGACGTTGTATTCCCTGTTATGAATACAAGATCGTCAACAACTGCATTCGTGAAGGCCGTGACTGGATTGTCCGATGCAAAGAAACATGCAGTTCGTGAGATGGGCTTCGGATTCCTGTTAGACTTGAAGATAACGTCGTTGCCATTGAAAATGGGATTCTGGTTGGTGGAGAACTTCAACTATATGGACCGCAAGCTACAGCTATACGATGGTGGAAAGATACATGTCAGGGAGGAGGACGTTTACGCGGTTTTAGGACTTCCTCGTGGCTCACTTCATATTTCGAACAAAAAAAAGAGGGTGGAGTCGAACATTCTTAATCAGTGGGTTAGCCTATTCGATGTTAGAAGCTCAACCAATATCACAGCAACTAAGGTGCTCGAGAAGATTCATGAATGTGCAGACGGTGACGATTGGTTTAAGAGGCACTTCATTGTTCTGATGGTGACGTGTTTGTTTGAGAGCTGTCAAAACGGAATGGCGAATTCTCGTATAGTGCACTTGCTTGATGATGTATCCAAGGTTTCCGATATGAACTGGTGCTCGTATATGATCAGTTGCCTCGTGAACACAAGAAAATCATGGGGCGGTAACGACAAAAAGAATAAATATACAGGCCCATTGATGTTTCTGACGGTTAGTACAAGTGATTCTTTTGATTTTTTATATATATATATATATATTATGTTATGTGACCATGTTGATTTTTCTTGTGTAGTTGTTCTATGTGGATAAAGTGGTGTTGTCGATGAGAACAGTTACAAGATCGTTCCCCACGTTCAAAGCATGGAGTAACGACCTATTAAGGGACAGAGAGCACGATGAGATGGAGACTGGTGCATTTGGTAGAGGATTCGTGGATGTTGATGTGCATGTTGTGAAAACCGATTGTCGTCCGGACGATAAAAGTGCTGATGATGATGATGAGCCGACGACAGGGTGTGAGACTGAAGACAATGTCCAGGTATGCACGAATTCGATTTTTTATGGCATTTCGTTTGGGCAGATATGTGCGTATCTGCGACAATGCTGGTATGCTATCTGCTAGAATTTCGATATGTGAAACCACTATGTGTTAAGACTGATAAACTTCGACATTTTTTGGAAATGTGTGTGTTAATAATTTTTTGTTGACATATATTGTTCATTCGATTATTGCATAATGTTCAATTGATGTTTATGTAGTGTGCAACTGTTGATTATATAATGTTCATTTGATTGTGTACACATAATTAATTATTTGTGTACATATATCTAATATAACGTTCAGTTGATTGTGTATACACTATTATTCTTATTGGCAGGCATTCGTTCGAGAGTTTGCATCTAAAACCCGAATTCTTGCAAATACCGGTGTTGAGATATTACAGCTCGTTGAGAAGGCTCCACGGGTTCTATTTGGCGATGAAAATTTTATGAAGATGCAAGCTGCCGCACAGAAATTTCTCGGCGTTTCAAGTGATGATTCGAAGCAGCAATCCAAAGTGGATTATAGCCAGCACACGAAGACGCAACAAGGGTCACCTGATATGGATCCAACCCAAGTGGACCCCACGCAAAAAGAAGACTTGAATAAGGATTTCGTAAAAGAGAGTGCATCTCAGGCCGTGGATGATGCATTTTGGAACGACCCCGCGACGATAGCGACATTAGACGGTATATTGGATGCTATTGCACGTCGGGACCGTTTTAGACGGATACACTTTGAGGGTCCAAGCTATAGTTTGGGTTTGGGATTATCATCAGACGAAGATGAATATGATGATCGCCACCATCGACCGGGGGAAGTGGGCAGTGGCAGCGGCATTAATGCTCAGCAAACGACGGATGGAGTATGTGTTGGAGGATCGTCAGGGGCAGATATACCCACAGGTAACATACGTTAAAATTGATATTTTGAGTGTGATTAACGAGTTTATTTATATGGTTTTGTTGACGTTTTAGTGATTAATATTTTGTTATAGATGAAATTGTTGTTGATACGAATGTCGTTGTTGATGATGCGGGTGTCGTTGGTGTACAAGGTACATATACTACTATTAATGCACTTTTTTTTTGTTCGTTATTTGTTCTTTATTTTTTTTATGTATATTAATGGGTATTATATCTCTTTATGTGTTTTTAATTGTGTCTAATCGTGTTGTACTCTGCATATAATTTTTGTATTATATTGTTGGGTTTATTGTTATGGTTGTAGATGATGTTGTTGTCGCCGAGCAGACTGATGATGGTGATGATGGTGTTGAGACTGATTGTGTTGATGGTGTGGATGGTGTCGATGGTGTTGAGAGTGGACGTGCAAATAAGACTAAGACTGGAGTAACACAAGGTATATGTGAGCATTTTATTTGATGAATTATACAATTTGCACTCTATTCTATTTTGTAGTTTAGTGTTCTCTGTGTGATTTGTGTGATTTGATTTAGGTGTTGGTGTCGGATGCGACGATGGACCGGATGATGGACCGGCCGGCAATACGAGGCTTAGGCCTAAGCGGCAAACCAATGCGGCTAGTGCAATCAAGTCGCCGTATGCGCAGCGGGTGATTGATGTGAACACAAAACTAGACGCACAAGAGAAGATGGTAGTTAACTGGGTTATGAAGAATCACTTGCTTTGCGAGTAAGCTATCTCACTTGTGTTGATAATTATGTTTTGTAATTACTCGGACATTAATTATAATATTATTTATAATTTTAATGTATTGTGAGTAGTATGTATTGTTCTGGCTAAATATGTTTTTTTATGTTTTTATGATTGTTGATATTTAGGCAAAATGACACAATAATATTCCAGTCGTTTGAAATTATCCCATATTCTGTCCCGAGGCCTGTTGTGGCATGTTTGATTCCGAATGAACCTATTTCTGAGGCGATGATAGATTTGTGGGCTTTTATTCTTAATTACAATGAGAGATTGAAGAGTCGTGGTTCAGCGACGTGTTTTTATGCATCTACGTCTCCATGTAATGAGGTATGATGTGTATGAAATCACGACAAAGTGTGTGTAAAGGTTGTCGATATCATATAATAAATCTCGCAACGTGTGATGTTGTGTTCGTGTGATGTTGTGTTCGCAGCTGTTTGTAGAGGGCCAGCGGAAGAAGGACGTCAACTACAAAAAGTTTGCAGACTGTATTGATGCTGAGATCGTGCGGATGTCCCGGTACCAGTTGAACCAAATGTAACTGGTGAGTTTGTCAATTGATTTTATACTTTTCGACCTCGAATTAATTTCCTTTATAAGAGTGAAATGACGTGTATGATAACCGTACATTTATTGTTCATTACAGTTTTTATTCCCTGTACATTCGAGTGCATTTTCTGGTGTGCTATGCATTGCGCCGGGTGCACAGAAGTATAAAGTTGTAGTTCTGGACAGTGCTGGGTTTTGTAAAAAAACTGCAGTTAAGAGAAAGGTTATGGCACGTGTTGAGTTGCTTGTAAGTATAATCATTCGTGTTGTGTTGTTTGTGTTATGGTATGAATACATGTTGACATTTATCGACTTATATTTATGTCTATGTATGCAGAAGCAATCGTTCTCAAAATACCTGAGCGAGAGGAAAATGGGGAGGTTCTCCAAGGTAGTTGGTATGGCGATACCGGAAATCGTCGACCCGACATGGACGGCGGGGGTCGATATGGTAGATAGTGGGGTGGTCACCATGCGTCACATGGAGATGTACAAAGGGACTGCTACGAAAATCTGGACTCCTCAAAAAAAGAAGGCGGACAAGGCGCAAATGAAGCTGATGAGGAAGCGTTATTGCTACATCGTAGCATGCGCCCCGAACAACAAGTTGAAGGATGACAACTTAGTTGCAGCCAATAGATTCCACCCTCTGTACTTGTTAAAGAAACAGGAGCGTGCTGTTACTCCTTGTTGAGTGAATGGTGTGTATGAGATTTGTAAGGCACTCTATGGACATGTTATTATCGTTTATGACTATGTATGCCATGGTCGATCGTTTTAGGACGTCGTATTGTATTGTTTTGTGTGTTCAGGCGATATGGTGTCTCATGCTTTCGTATATCGTGTTTTGGGTTTTTGGACATATTTTTTTGAATGATGATGGTTTTTGTGGCATGAACGTTGAAAATTGAAATGCGGTTGTAAATATATTATGTTGGCTGATATTATAATGTGCAGGTTATCACAAGCTATTGTGCAGTATTATGTATAATAATGTGCAACATTGATGTAATCATACATATACCCGCGCTGTGCAGTTGGTGTCATATTGTGCAATGCTGTCGGTGTCATAATGTGCAATGCTGTTTAAAATATTGTGCATCGACGCCTTCACTAATGTGCATCGATCACAAGTTTTTGGTGTGCAATATATATATATATATATATATATATATATATATATATATATATATATATATATATATTTTTTTTTATTCTTTATTTTCCGGTATCTCAATGTCATCCTCGACTATACATAACAATGTGCAACCTTTATGTAATCATGCATACTTGTGATTGGCAGTCATGTAATCGCACGAATTCTTAATGTGCAACGTTGTCTAAATTAACGTGCTATGTTTCATTCACTAACGTGCAATCATTTCGAGCTATGTATATCTATGCATCAGACATCTAAAATAATAACAATAATAACAATAATAATAATAAAACCAACATAGAGTTGGATAGACAATTAACACCGTTTGTAGCAACACGATAGTCTTCAAAGAAATAAATAATAAGGCATCTAAAATGCACAAAGTGTGGAATAATAGGTTAAGTGCAACATCGAAGCTTCCAGCATCTTCATCCACTCCCATTGACTCCAACTCTCAACTCTCATTGACTCCAACTGACACTGTCTGCAAGTGATTAGATACGTCGATTAGTGAACTATGTAAGAAATGCTCATACCTCGATAGTATAATCCCAATAGTGTAGTTCCGTGTAACAAAAAATTAACACAACACATGAACAAAGGGAAATGTACTACAGATCATACCTCTACTGCTTCTTGGGACATGTCCGGGTGTTGTGACCTGCCCTCTCACCGCACGTCTTGCATATACGTCTCTTTTTTATGGATTTTTCGACTGCTTGCTCCTTCGCGCTTTTCATCCTTTTCCCACTGCCCTTGTTATTTGATTTTCCCGGCGGGTGTATGTTCAACTCCTGAGGGGCAGACGTGCCGACAAACATTTCAAATTGATGCTCTTTCGTCCCGGTCGGAACACCTTCCTGTTCAGTCATCAATTGTGCTTGTGGTCTCCGATAAGTCTTGAAAACTCGACAAGGCGGTCCATGGATGACTCGACCAATCCCATACATAGATGTATGTCAGACCACAATTTATTCACCATTAATTTCTTATCATCAATTTGAGCACACTGTTCAGTTATACCATCAACGACGCAGAACATTGGGTTCAGTAAGGCCAATTTTGTCCATCTTGATAGAATATGTGCAGTCGGTATAACCTCAGCATTCACATCTCTCAACACAACGAAAATGTGCCTGCACAGCCACCCATACAATTCAAAATGCTTGCAAGAGCACGTGGACGTTTTCAGACTCACATTGTATAACACCGTGAATGTCTTGCCATTTATATCTTGGACTTCGAATTTCGTATGTCCATCTTCATCTGAGATTTTTATAAGACGGCAATGGAAACACGCTGCACATATTTCATTTTGAACAAGATAGAATATGGCAGTGGTATATACACTCACAGCATGCTTTTCAATAGCCAATGGAGTTTTCAAGTTAGCCAAGTGTGTTTCACTGTCCGCTTGCAACTTCATTGATGTGTTTCGTTGCGCATCCATTGCACTATCAAAGTGTAGCAAGAATTCGACTAGACTAGCATGACTGTTCATGAAATAGCCGAACCAATTGTTCTCGCTCTCCGACCTAGACGTAGTTCTCATTAGCCCGCTCATTTTAACACTTCTAAAGAATGCCGGAATCCAATGTTCCCGCTTTGCATACAAATCAATAAACCAGCTGTGGGTTTCCAGATCATATTCATGCATGAGTTCAGTCCACTTCGTCTCAAATTCTGGTGGTTCTATTGTTCGATTCCAAACAAGCTCATTAAGTCTGGACTTGAAAGCGACATCATTATGCAAACAATGCCCTACCTTATCACATAATTTGGCCATTATGTGCCACATACAAAAACGGTGCCTTGATGTATTAAATACCTTAGAAAATGCAATTCCAATAGAGGGATCTTGGTCCGTGACTATGTATTCCGGCTCTCGAATCATGGCGGCTTTGAAATTTTCAAACACCCAAACATAAGAACCCACGTCCTCCTTCGATATCAAGGCTGCCGCAAAAGTAACACACCTGTTGTGGTTATCAATCCCTGTGAATGGAGCAAACACCATGTTGTATCTGTAAATATAACCATAACCATTTCAGTTTGAGATTTAGTATAATGTTCAACGCTGTATGATATTTTATGCATCCTGTAATTATGTAATGTTCAAACAGTAAAGATATTATGTGCATTCATTATTATGTAATACAGTGCAATCATATAGAATACATGTAGTAAGTTACCTGTTTGTGCGATACGTTGCATCAAATGTTACGACATCCCCGAATGATCCATAATTCCGCCTTGAAATTGGATCTGCCCAGAAAAGTCGTTGCAAGCAGTCATTATCGTCTACTTCGTAGTGAAAGTAGAAGGCGGTGCTATTCTCTTGTTTCTTATAGAACTTGTCGATAACCAATTGCGCGTCTGCTCCTGAGATGTAAGCAAGGAGTTCCCGTTTGAAGTTCTTGAAATCCACGCTGGTGGCACCAATACCGGTATATCCTCCCACAATTTCCTTGTACAACTTGTATGATTTGACAGGCCCTATGTTTGCCTTTATACAGTTCAAAACAAAACTTTGATGTCCCGCATTCATGGTTCTGTTGATTTTGAGATGTTGTCTGCATTCGCCAGAAGTCATCGAGTGGTTATGTCTATCCTCGAAAGAGCTGACAACATACCCATTGAGCCCGTCTACACGCAACACGATCCTTGCAACACAACCCACACGGTTGGATACTCGTCGCCTTTTTACGTGCCCATCGGTTGGGATTGGGGCTGAATGGACAGCATGTGTATTGTGTTTATAACCCTCTCGCGAGCACACCATATACTTCCAAAGTATAGTCTTATTATCACGTGCCTTGATTAACGTGCTCTGGCGTACATCAAAACCAACAGCATACGCATATGTCTTGTAGAAGATTATTGCATCATTCAATGTTCGGAATTTTTGCCCCTTATAAGGCTTAAGTGGATCATCACACTGTGGTATCCAATACCTAGTGCCACCAGGAGTTATTGATATCTGCTGACGACCCGTACATGAAGACGGTGTTCCTGTGGATGCATGCAATAAGTTCAGCAAATTGCACAATTGAATACAAAGCAATGCACATAAACAGCCTGGCGCATGAACATTATAGAATCAATATAAAAAGAATGAATAAATCATATGTCAAATACAAAAAACTGTTCAGAAACCTGCACAATTCATCTGGCACATTACATGTACTATGACTCATTGAATATATTTGCACTGTAAAAGACGAATCATCGGTCCCTACCCGTCTGAGCAACATTCGATTCCATCATCTTGTGCGGTGCAACCGTACGAAAGCAGTACAACGTATGAGTGCCTGAAATTTACAGTTAAAATAATAATAATAATAATAATAATAATAATAATAATAATAATAATAAATACCGATTCGAAAAACCCCTGAATAAAATTTGCATAACGTTCATGTTGAATTAAAGCACTATATTAACAATTCAAAAGGTCCTGGATACATTGTATAGGTTGAATTAAAGTCCTAAATTCGAATAACATACATACCTCAATTTCGATTTTTGCCCTAACAGAGGTTGTTCATGGTGCGGATGCCGATTCGCGATTGATGAAATTCAATTTTGATGGCGATACTTTGCAATCTGAGAGCCTTTCGAGCTCGGAAATTTGGGATTTCGATTTCGAGCTTCGAGATTTGAACGACGAGCTTGGAGATTTGAGATTTATTATCGAGCAGAGAGAACGGCGTTTAATGTCGGATTTAGTGTCGAGCTTAGGGACACTGTGTATTGTAATTACCAATTCACCCTTCCAATTATGTGAAGGTGCGCTGCCACTGTCCGTCGGATCATACGAATCTTGTGGTCAAAATTTATTCTTATTTCTTTCCCTAGGCACCATTCTCACCGGAGCGTGACCCTATATTATAAAGAGGTTGTTGGAAAGTTACATTAATAGAAAGTTTGACCAAATAAATATAATGTTTGACTTACTATTAATGGAAAGTTCAATAAAATACATGTGAATCTTTAGTAACAAAATCTGAATCCTATTTTTTTGGTAACTAATTTGGAGATTCTTATGGCAAAATTTGAATCCCATTTTTTTCGTATCATATTTTATTTTTTTTACCAAAATTTAAATCATATATTTTTTGGTAACAAATTTGAGATTCTTATGCAAAAAATGTATCAATTATTTATGAAAACAATTCTAAATACAAATTAACTTAAAAACCGTACAAATTGGATACAAATTTTGGAAACAAATAGTTGTATAATTCTTAACCAATTCTTGTAATCTTATTGAATAATTTTTTCTTTCAAAAAAGAGTGTGTAAATTGGATAAAACCACGTGCAATTTTTATTTTAGAATAAAACTGATATTTGGACGGGATGTAAATTCAAAATTGTGTCCACATCTTTTGATAATAAAAGCAGTTCATCTTTGATATTTAAAAATTAAAAAAATCTTAAAATATCCTTAAATATTTAACTTATTTGAGATCAAGATTTGTTAGGTCTTTTTAAGATTAGTTATGATTTAAAGAAAAAAACATTATACAAAATTTCACTCTAAATCTCACATTCACACTTAAGATTTCATAGTATTCCTCTCAAATTTGACCATCTTAAAAGTCTCCAATCTTAAAAAATCTTAAAGTGGCACTCAAAATCCTAAACGAATACATATTATTTACCTATATCGTCAATTTATAATTATTATTTAATATTATTTACCCGTGCATCGCACGGGCCACATACTAGTTTATTATAGTAGAGTACATTAATTAAATTAAACTTAAATTTAAATATATTATATATTATTATTTATTAAAATAAAACTAGTTAAATAAATTTGGAAATGAAATATAATAATGATAAAATTATATTAAAAAATAAAATCGATTAAAGTACATAAGTTAAAATAAACTACAAATAATATAATATAAGACATAAAGTATAAAAAATAGTAAAGTAAAATAAAATAAATAATATAATAAATCAAAATAACTTATTATGAAATAATAAATTAAAATAAATAAAAATATTAAATTAATATTATAAAATAAAAAATATTATTTCATTATATTATTTTTTAATGTAATAAATTAAAATATTTATTATACTATTATCAAATAATTTAATAAATTATTTATTATTATAATTTAAATAAATAAATTATAATAATAATAATTTATTAAATTATTTTATTGTATTATAATAAATATTTTATTAGTATTATATTAAATTTTAACTTAATTTATTTTAATTTATTTTTTTCATTTAATATATACAATTTATTTTATTATATTTTAATTATTATAACTTTATATGTTATTAATATTATTAAATATAATTTACATTATCTTTTATATTTAATTTGATTATTCGTATGTTGTATCTATATATTAAATGCTATTAAGTTTAGCATATAACTTGTATTGGTGTAATGGTTACAATGTCAACGAGTTCAAACTCCAGCAGCGTTTAATTTTTATCGCCAGCCATATCAGCGCCACGTCAGCAGAAATCGCCACACTAGCATCCATGTCAACATAACTTGCCAGAAATTCGCCACATCAGCAATAAAAGCCCGAAATTGGGCCCTCTGCATAGAATTGCCAAGAAAAGTGAAAATGGTGCATATATTTGCCAACTTTAAAAGTCGTGCATAAAATTGCAAATTTCGAAAAGGTCATGGTTTTATTTGCAATTAAGCCTATATATATATATATTAAAAGCAATGAAAAAAATATTTAAATTTTCAATACTTTTAACAAAATTACATTATTAATTATATTTATACTTGTACAATTTACACATCTTATATTATAATAAATATTCTAATTTGTATCTACTTTACAGATATTTTTCTAATTAATATATAACCTTAAACTAGTATTAATAGATTGTTGATATCAAGATAGAATATCTTGAAATTATGGTTAGATTAAAGAAATCGTGAAGTCTAAACCGCGGATTGGATCTTGGACGGTGTAAAACAGAATATATGACACCTCGGTAATCTCATCTCGGTACTTACACGACGCTTTCACATGATGTTGCGAATAATACAGCATATCTTGAAGGTCGTCAGAACATGTCGGTTAAACCTCGAAAAGACCACCTCGGTTGAAGAATAATTTATTGGGAAGTCGTAGAAGACTGAAATTCTATCAGACTACCGACTTCACAAAACGAACCGACTTCAATCCGACAGATGTGACGCTTGTCACACAGATAGAGGCGCGCCCATGCTCATCATTGCCTAAAAAGCTTGTCTACGTCATCGCCGCCCCTACACTGTCAAATCTCCATTAAAACGAAGCTGATTTGCCTTGGGAGGTGCGCCAAACATAACTATAAATAGCAACTTCGAAAACAATACGAGGATTGGGCAATTCTGATAAAAAACACTTATATTTAACTCGATTTTTCCTTGTTTACCGACTTAGTGAACATTGAAAGACCGACTTCCCATTTCTATAACCGACTTCAAAATCTTCCATAAAAATCTCATTTTCTGCAATCTTTGTTGTAATCTTTACATTTATTACGTTGATTAAATCCGTTTATCAACATTATTTACATTTATTACGTTGATTAAATCCGTTTATCAACATAGATAATATAAATTTTATACTATAAAATTATTTACTTATTTTATATATACAATATGAATGTCAAATTGAAAAGGTCGTTATGCAATGTTAATTTGATATATTATTATATGAAAAACTGATAACAAATACAAAAATTATTAACTTTTAAAATATATTTATAGTATAAGTTAAATAAGGGTTTCACATTATATGCATGGATGGAAGTCAAAAGCTACATGGACTAAAACACAAAAAATTGGCAAATAGAAGTACAAAGCACCAAATACACCATTAGTTCTAGCGAGCAATCGGACATGTAGACTCATTTTAACTAGATCATTTCTCTCTTTATTTTCCAATCGGAAGCCCTTTATAATGAATTATGTTATTTGTCACCAATATTAATAAGATTAAGCAATTATGAAATTAACGTCCTAAAAATATAGGTATATGCGTTTTAATAATCCATAGGTACAGGTTTAGATTAATCCTGGAGATTTGGATTAGTTACCCACAAACATGACAAAGACATGTTCAAATTATTTTTTTAAGAAAAAGTTAATTATCTAGTTTTCCATATTGAAACTCTTTAGAAAATAAGTGAGCTCTCAGTTTTCAACTCAAATTCACTTTTACATGCTATACTTCAAAACAACAAAATACCTATTTTTTTATTTTTTTTTTCTCGAATTTCATATTTTCTATAAAAGTTGAAGAAATCAAATTAAAATTCAAAATTAGATTCAAACAAACACCATGTTATAATTTCATTCGCAATTTGTCCCACATCGTCATATATAGAAAATAGACTCACCTTATAAGTCTAATGGGCTACTCCTCCTTCTAATTAGTTTTGGAATGAAACCTTATTTGCCACTCGTTTTCTCAGTTTATTACACACCAAAA